CTCAAGCCGGGCGTGTGTGCATACGTGCCCAAGATCCCGAGAGGAGAATGGAGGAGAAGGGATTGCGGTGTGGCCATCCCCCCTGGGGGGTGATTTCTTGCTTTCTGTTTCTCTGTCTCTTTCTGGCGAGTGCACGTGCCCTATGGCAAAAACCTCTCCAAAACAAACAAACAAACAAACAAACAAACAAACAAAACATTTCTGGGGCCAATAGGTAGCATAGTGATTATGGCACTGGACTCCCACAGGGTTGACTGCAGTTCTAGTTCTGGACCCAGTGGTTTGAAACTCACAATGGACGCGTGTGCGTGCATGCCCCAAATCCTAGGAGAATGGAGGAGAACAAATTGTGGTGTGGCCATACCCCCTCAGGGGGTGATTTCTTTCTCTCTTTCTTTCTTTTTTTTTTTTTTTTGAGAGGTTTTTCACTATAGGGCGTGTGTGCTCACCAGACAGACAAAGACAGAGAAACAGAAAGCGAGATATCACCCTCCACACGGGATGGCCACGCCTCAATTCCTTCTCCTCCATTCTCCTCTTGGGATCTTGGGCACACACGCACACGCACCTGGCGTGGGTTTTAAGCCACCGGGTCTGGGACGCGAACCGCGGTCAACTACATGGGAGTCCAGCAACATAGCCATTATGCTAACTGCTGGTTCCCCTCAGGGATGACTTCTCACTTTTGCCTTTCTGTCTCTCCTCTCCATGAGTGCCTTGTGGCAAAAATCGCAAAAAAAAAAAAATTGTTAGCAGTTGGCTTGTGTGAAGCCAGGTGCGAAAGTCCTGATTCATTTATTATAGCTGGAGACCTCTTGTTATTTTAAGTGGATCATGTGTGCCCCGTTCTGCAAAGGATGGCAATTGTGGGGGGTAAGCAGTTGAGGGGGCACCAGTGAGCTGGGAGTGGGGCCAAGGCTGAGAGATTGGGGAAGGATTCATGAAGGACAGGACTATGGGGGGGGGTGTTGGATTTCATGCCCACAAGAAATTGAGTGCCCCCAAGCTGTGCAGGAGCTCTTGTTCATCCCTTGACATTTCCTGGGGGCCCCTTTTTGAATGCATAGTGCTCCGGAAGGAGCACAGAATTAGGGTGTCGTCTGTTCAGGCTGTCTCTCGGGTCACCGTGTGATGCTGGTGAGCAACATCTCGGAGCAAGGTAAATGTGTGAGCACAGGGACCTCAGTGGAGGGCCCAGTGCAAAATGAAAACGTGACTTTCTTTATTCAACCATTATTAAGAACTTTTAAAAATATTATTTATTTATGTATTATTGTTATTATTATTATTTTCACATGAGTTTTGCCAGAGAAAGACAGAGAGAAAGGGAGAGTGAGAAAGCAAGCCACCAGGTTCAGGACTCAAACCGTGATCAGCCATGTGGGAATTCCAGGGCTTTAACCACCTTCACCACCTGCTGGCCCCAAAACATTTTCTTTTTTTAAGAGAGATTTTTTTTTTTTTTTTTTTGAAATGGGGTATGTACGCTGGC